AGGGGTGGACTTCATGACCATCCGACTCCGCATCAATTTAAGTATAGATTAAGAAAATATATAACAGGTATGACAAATCTAATATAATCAACTAATAAATGATAAATAATAATAACAGTACTAATTGTAAAATGTTTAGCTCTTTGTTTCAGAAATGTGATCGGTAGTAAGTCTTCTTCGTCTACTTCGTCTACTTCTTCGGTGTTTTGTTCATGTTTTTCTTTAATTTTATTTAATTAATTATGGTTTTTATACCCTTGCAGAACAAAAGGGTATTATAATTTCAGTCAGAAGTTTGCAACGCAGTGAAGGAGACACCTCAGACCCCATAAAGTATATATATTCTTGATCAACAATACGTCTGTTCGTCTGTCCGTCTGTCTATCTGTCTGTCTGTCCGTTTCCGCGCAAACTAGTCTCTCAGTTTTAAAGCTATCTTGATGAAACTTTCCCAAAAGGTGTGTAGTTATTGCACGCAGCCGACTATATCGGATAGCTCCCATACGAGAGAATGAAATAAAAAATTCTCACACCGTTGTTTTTGATCAGATCGACTTGATTTCTTCAAGATGGCGTTTTCTAACTACTATTGAGTTTCGGATTAAATTTGATCAAAATCGGATAACTCTATTATATAGATGCCATAGGAGAGATCGAAAATTATATATAGAATTAATGGAAATAAATTGATAACATCGTTGTTTGTTATCCCACGAGCATAATTTTTGAATATCAAGTTTTTTAACAACGTTTACATTGAGAAAAAAGTTTCATAAAAATTGGTCAACTATATCTTATAGCTGCCGTAGAAAAGATCGAAAAATCTATATAGAAATAATGGAAATAAAATTATAACATCGTTGTTTTTCATCAGACAAGTATGATTTTTGGAATATAGAGTTTTCTTACACCTCTTGAATTACGAATTAAATTTGATCAAAATCGGACAACTATATCATATAGCTCCCATATAATCTATAGTCGAAAATATGGAAAATGAATAAAAAAATCGTCTTAGCTTCGATGTTGTCTAGCTTTTATGCGTTTTGTTCGACATACATATTTGATGACTGCAAGGGTATATAAACTTCGGCTTGCCGAAGCTAGCTTCTTTTCTTTTTTTTGACTGTTTTTCATATGACAGCTATATGATATACCTAATTTTTATGAAATTTAATTCGAAATTCAAAAGTAATTAGAAAACTTTATATTTCAAAAACTATGATTTTCTTATGAAAAACAACGATTTTGTCATTTTATTTCCGCTATTCCATATAGTTTTTTTTTAATTTTCATGAGGTAGCCGATGATATACATAGTTGTTATGTTGTTATACGTCTGTCCGTCTGTCCGTATGACAGCTACGCAAGCTTTCTCTTTAGTTTTAAAGCTATCTTCCCAAAAGTTGTGTAGTTGTTGCACGCAGTATATACTATAAGTCGAAACGGCTATATCAGATAGCTCTCACACGAAAGAACGAAATAAAAAATTATCAACAAATTTTGATCAGATCGAATTGATTGAATTTCGGATAAAATTTTATCAAAATTGGATAACTCTATCATATAGCTTTCATAGGAAAGATCGAAAAATCTATATAGAACTAATGGAAATTAACGGAAAAAAAATAAAAAAATCGTTGTTTTTCATCAGAAAAGAATAAGTTTAGATATAATAATATAGGGTAAGATGGGGTAAAACCGCCAGTAATATTTATTTGACGATGTCAAACTATCATTTAAAATGATCAATGAACCAAACCATATTTCTGAAAGTTTAATCCCTTGGGTGCATAATTCATTTAGAAAGTTTTTATGTAGATTTTATTTTAAAACAATTGTGATCGCTCAGAAGAAAAGTTTAAAACGGCGGTTTTACCCCACCCCGTGGGGTAAAAACGCAATTCTGGTTTCACTGTAGTTAAGTACCCAAATAATGTCAATAACTTCTGAGAAAATTTTTTATTCAATTCAAATGGATATTACATGTTACAATGAATAAATAAAAGTAAAAATAAAAAATCGAAATTAAAAGAACATAAAGTGACGCCCCGCTCATCGTCCTTCAGGAAAATTACCCACCTGGATTCGAAATGTTTCGCCGGCCCTGGTGTCATTTCGTTCTCGTCTGCCTCTTTTGAAACCCGTTTTAAAATTTTCTTTTCTGCTCGCGCAGCCGCAGCCGTCATTTGTTCTTTCTTTTTTCTCGCATTCGCTTCTTGTTCTGTTCGCAGTGTTTCCATTTTATTTTCATCGGTCAAAATCGCTGTTTTTCGGCGCTTTCGGCCGAGGTTCGTGGACTTCCGAGGTGCGGCCTTTTGGAAGGGACGCAGTTTTTCCAAAACTGCGTCAAAATTTATTTCTCTGTCGTCCTCTTCCGGTTCTTCGACTGACTCGTTTGGGGTCCTCGGGCGTTGAGGCTCATTTTCTCGCAAAATCTCTCGGGGAATCCCATATTTTTCGGCAACAACTGCCACCTTGCTGCCCTCCTGAACATCCTCGATTGCCCGTTGAAATATATTTTCATAAATTTTTGGTTTTTTTCTTGCGTAATTGCGAGGCATGATGCTGAAAGACATTCATTCTCGATTAAAACGAATTTTTCCGTTATAAAATTGTGTGGCGTTTTTACCACACCTTTTCGAGGCGTTTTTACCCCACGCGCCACTTTTTTTTTGGGGTTACTTAGTTTGTGCAATTTTGGAAATATTGGCTAACTTGATACAAGTACATCAGTATCAAGGTTCGTACTATAAGCGGACACTTACCTCTTTTTTTCAAGCCGTTCATTTACACTTGATTGAGCAATGCACTATGGTTTTTTTTGGTGTTTTTTTTTTGGCATAAAGTCAATTTTTTTTGTTTGTATCTTAAAATTTTTTTTTATTTTTAATTTTTAAACACCCTAGACCAGTGTTTCCCAAACTTGTCGGGACCGCGACCCATCTACACAAAAAATTGCAAGATCTACATTCTTGTATATGGCAATTAGTACCCACCAAAAATCTACCCGCGACCCACCAGTGGGTCGCGACCCACACTTAGGGAAATACTGCCCTAGACAGATAAAAAAATATGTAATTTTAATACACGGAGCAACACTGTCCTGCTGGCGATCTGTTAAAGTCAGCTAATTATGTACCACCTGTTTTGTATGAAATTGGCGCGAAAAATTGTGCAACTTTGATCGTTTGTTGTGGTAAAAGTTTACGAAAAAGTTAAGTGCATAAATATGGAAAACGATTGTCCAGGTATCCAAAACTAAAGTTTTCCAATGTTTGTGTCGTTCTTATGTGTTTTTTTTCAATTGTACCGTGTTTTGTTTATGTGTATTTTTAGAACGAGCTTAACAAGTGTAGTTGTCTTTCGTGGATCAGTACTTTTGCATGGCAAAGTGTTGCAAAAAGTTGTAAATGAGAAACTATTGCAGATTAATGAGAAACTAACCTTTTTTGTCCGAATCCACACGTTTTCGAAAAAAATCAACAAGAAAAATTGAGTAACTTCTATAGTAAGTAACATAACCAAACTTATTTAAAATTTTGTTAAATGTATCTTTACTTTCAGATTGAAGCACTAATAATGGAGATGAATACTAAAATGTGATCTTGGATAATTGTTTTTTTTTTTTATTAAATATAATATAAAGAAAATAAGAAATAAAAATGTTTGATGGAGCTTTTTTGTATGTCGGCCAGATCGGTTATATGGCAGCTATATGAAATAGTGCCCCAAATTATTTGAAACTTGGTAGGTCATCTTGGGAGCTTAAAAAATGTATTCAAACCAAATTTAAATTCAATAGGTTTAAAATTAGAGTTTATGCCAAAAAAATCGAAAAAAAAACCATAGTGCAATGTTAATAACAAAAATTGTTTGCTTCCGTCGAGTGAAACAAAAATGACGCAATAGAAATTGTCACGACAAAGCTGCAGTATTCCGTTCCGACCGTCTGCAAAAACCGCGCATTACACTGTGCGACAAAAAAATGTTTAAGTTGATTTTTTCTTATTTTTCACTTCTACTAATCAAAATAAGAATATAAGTTTGTGGATTTGTTAATATCAATAGCCAATCAGCTTTTACGCACACTCAAGTGTCCCAAAAACGCGCGTTTTTGCATATTTCACAGCCTTATAATCACATATTGGGAAAATATATTTTTACTGTAATAAGCGTTCATGCAAGTTCAATATCTATTAATTAAAATGTATTAAGCAAATATACAACAAAACAAATATTTTTTTCTCCCAGCTCTATACTCTGGGCGACTACGTATGGAACTTGTTACGCGAGGATACCTCTGAAAAAGTAAAAAAAAATCTGGAAAAAAATTCACTTTTAAAAAAATAATAGTTTATTGAAAGTAAAAACCAAAATAATATTTTGTGTTAATTATTTTCAAATTAATAATTTCATAAAATTTACCATGAAAAAAGAAATCATATCACTTAAAAGGTGGCATAGATATTACTATGTTACTCGTTACTCGTTTCGGTTTTACCCACCGGCGGTTTTACCCCATCTTACCCTAATATAGAGTTTTCTAGTGACTCTTTCGAGTTAAATTTTATAAAAACCGGACGACTATATCATATAGCTTTCATAGGAACAATCGTAGAAAATACAGGAACTTCATAGAAAAATCGACTTAGCTTCGATGTTGTTTAGCCACTATGTATTTGCTTCGACATGTTTGATGACTACAAGGGTTTATAAGCTTCGGCTTGCCGAGTTTAGCTTCCTTTCTTGTTATAAAATAATATATAAATATTTTATGGAGTAAATTGCTTCCACCGAACGTACAGAAGTTTAGTCAATGAATAAAGATAAAATACCGAATCATTTTAGCCTATTTTGAATTTTCGGAAAGCCACAATACTCAGAACGAGACAATTACGAATATCATTTTAGATTTGTTTTTTTCAGCCAATAAGAATGAAATAGCTGTGCCTTTAAAACTCCGTTTTTTAATTCTGGGTACAAAATAAAAAACATAGGTCCATTTTCGGAATGCGCACATTTATTGTTTTGTAATTACTAGTTAATAGGCGTTAAGAATATATAAGTATATATACAATTTACATAAATGTAAAAAACCAGATGACATCCCGTTGACAAGCAGTTGGCTTACATTTACCTGCCAAAGCGCATGTGGCCATAGTCATCGAACTGATCGTCCCCTCCGCGCTTTCCAAACCTCATATGACCGTAGTCGTCAAACCGCTTAGTCTTTGTCCGGTCATCATCATTGTCCATCAGCAGATCTAACTCGATTGGGATCATAGGTCGAGAAATCAGTGGGACCCTTCTACCAAAACTAGGGTTTTTTTGCATGCGCCTATCTCCGAATCGCGAGACTGATGGTCCTGCCAAATTTATGTTAGACTGGTCTGTTTCCGCTCCCAGTTTTGACTCCAATTCCTGTAGCCGGCGTTCGTCTTTTGCGATCTCCAAACTTGATGACTGGGCTGGGACTGGCACCATCACGAAAAGACAGAAGGCCAGTGCCCAGAGTGGCATCGCCAGCGCAACGAAGTGCATGCAGCTCCTGAGTCGCATTCTCTTCTTTTCCTTTGGCGGACTGGTGACCAGAAACGGTGGTGCTTCCTTTTATATGATTTGCGTCAAACGAAGCGCACACCCCTGTCTGCTTAATATTCTACTACCGCGATTGCCGCGGATTGAGTGCTTTGAGGTGTTCGGGAAACTCAAATTGTATTATCCCTATGGTCTTGACATGTGATTGACTTGATGGATTAGGTTAGCCATCTGGCGACTTTGGTGGTGTTCTTTTGTGTTGCAACCTTCTTGAGTTCGGTAAAATGCCTAAGTAATGATGCTGGAGCAAAATTTTAAATTTATGGCATTGTCTTTCCTTGAAATACTTACTGGGGCTTAAAAGGCATAGGGCTTTTTTTAGCCGCCGTATTGTTTCTGTCTTGTCCATCAGAACCGAATATATTTAAATTGCTATCAATAGTAAACGGTGATAAAAAACCTTCGAATTTGTCATTAAATTTGTGTATCCAGCCGGTTGCTGCTACTTTATAAATTTTATTTGGTAATTAAAGCGTCGTTACTGTGTGCAAAAAACCATGCTTGTTTGTTAATGTTTCAGCAAGATAGCTTTAAACTAGAAGACTAGTTTGCGTAAAAACACACAGAACAACAGATGAGTAAGCCGTCTAGGTAAGACTAGGTATATAGAAATTATTTACTTTATGAGGTCTTAGGTGCCTCAATAACTGCGTTGAAAACTTGTAAATTAAATTATTATTCCCTTTGCGAGGGTACTTCGTCGTTGCTTAACCCTCTCATGCCCAAATTAAAATGGGCGTGGCCAAAAATTTTTTGATTAGTCATACATATAAGCTAGACTTGACCCCAATATCAACTGACAAAAATTTCAATGTCCTAGGTGTCCTGGTTCAAGAGCTACAGGATGTTGCGTATTTGCATCATTGTGCAATTGTGTTATAATTTAAATTCAAGTTGATTTTTTTCAAATGCCGTTTATTTATATTTATGTATGATAGGACACGAAACAATTTTTTGGGGGATTGGAGCACAAGTGCACATTACATTTGCTGCATTTACAGCTTGGAAATCCTGTGCTGCATAACCTACATCTTCCTCTTGTTCCCCATTCCGGCCTATGATTATAACCATCAAGTCGTAGTGATTTTGCTGGGTCTGCAACATAAGCTCTTTTATAGGGGTTTGATTCAGAGCCCGAAGAAGGAGCCGGTGATGATGGAGCTGGTGATGATGGGTATGAATTCATTGTCAAAAGGAGTGATGATGGACGACCTCTCTTTTTGGCGACAACTGTAGTTTGACTTGCGTTCAAAAGCTCGGAAGCAACATCCAATTGGAAATTTATGAGCGGCATATGCTTCAATTCACCGTCTGTATGGGTTATGTCTCTACGGTACAACAACCAACTGTACTACTGTACTACTGTACTGTACTATGCGCATCTACCATTTATTTGAGCGGTGGTTGATTTTGTACAATTCAAGAAGCATGTCCACAAGATCAACCCCTCCCATGTGTTTGTTGTAACATTCAACTCTACCTGGACGAGGTATAGTTATAAACTTCTTCTCTTTGCGGCACCATCTGTTGCATTCACTCATGGGGTTCTTACCTGCATAATTTGAAACTAATTGTACGCTCTTATTATTGTACCAACGACAAGTAATCAAGTTGTGCGTTGCTTCATATTTGAAATCGATTGATCCTCGTCCTCGTTTTTGAAGGTCCTTTTCACTGATTAGATCACAATTTTTCAATCGGTTGCTTCTAATTGTACCAACGGCCAATATGCCTTTCTCTTTCAGAGCAATCATCAAGCTTATTGACGAAAACCAATTGTCAAAAAACAGTTTGAAATTTTGGTTTACTGGTAAATTGGATGATTAAGATAGCACTATATCTGATGAAATGCCCAAGCCATAGGTCTTGCACGTTCCTTCTCCAATGTAAAGAGTAAAATCGTATGTAATCCCAGATACACCAGCTCTCGTTAACATTTTGAAACCCCACTTGTGGGGCTTCATTGGAAGGTATTGTTTTAAACTATGTTGACCTGACGAAATAATATACCTACTATTGTGTTATTCAGAAATGTATTTACAAATAATAAGTTACCTTTATATGCAAACATTTTCGAAATTCTTCTTGCGAAATTTCTTTGAATTTTTTTTTATGGTGTCCAACAAAGGGCGAACCTTGTGCAACTTGTCGTATTCAGGAGTTCCCTTCTGAGACTGTTTAGAGTTATCGTTCAAATGGAAAAACTGTTTAATTTTTTCAAATCTGTTTCTCGGTAATGCATTTGCAAAGGCGGCTAGTTTGAAATTTGTCGCCCACGCCATTCTATAAGCTGGTATTTTCACACTGCAAGGTAAAGAAGTATGCCAACAAACCTTTTCATTTCAGGCACAGTGCATTTCAATTCTATGCTCTTCGTTTGCATGGCATATAGATTCGTTTCCTGACACATTTTCTCCCATAGTTCATTTGCAAAGAAAGTTTTAAAATATTCGATGGGTGTTTTTACCGCATTGCTGCATAATTCACTTTTCCAAGTGGTCTCGCTTTCCATAAACTCTGCATTCCTCCACTTCAAACTCTTCAAAACAATTTTTTCCATCACCTCCTGTACAACGGGCTTATTTTCACTCGAATTTTCATCATTTTCGCTTGTAATAAATTGGTCAATCAAACCAACTTCCACATTTTCTGCTCTGTTATCCAAATTTTGTAAAGTTTCTTCTATAATCTCGTCCATATTTCGATCTTCTTCTTCATTTTCCTCATCAGCCGAACCATCCCAATCAAAGTTGGCAAATTTTTCAATCTCAGCTTGACCTTTTAAGCGCATCTTAGAATTTATTTTTCGAAAATTACCACAATAGACAATGTTGCATATACGCAACACGACATTTACAAAAATACATATTACAAACAAACTAAATATGTAATATTTTAATGCGGGGTTTTGTTTTAAATACTCACTTACCTTTCTTTATAAAGTTGCTAAACTTGGTATTAGGATGAGGTAATTATTTTAATGTTTATTTAACACTTTTCAAAAACCACTGTTTTTTGAACAATGAAATTGTCAACAACACTCTCGGGAAAATAGCTACAAACTGAACGCGTGTGCAGCTGACTACCGAACAAATATGTATAATCTCACTCAACACATGCAGCTATTTTTCTGCGAAAGAATCAAAACAAAAAGAATTAAAATAACGGTAGATAGAGGCTCATAAATACAATGTTGCGTATATGCAACAGCGGGCATGAGAGGGTTAACAGAAATAAAATGATAACAACGTTGTTTTTCATCAGACAATCATGATTTTTGGAATTTATACTTTTTTAACAATTTTTGAGTTTTGAATAAAATTTCATAAAAATCGGGCGACTATATCATAAAGCTGTCATATAAAATCGTCGAAAATATGGATAATAAATATAATAGAAAAATCGTCATAGATTCGATGTTGTTTAGCCTTTATGTATTTTGTTCGGCATATTTGATGACTTCAAGGGTATATAAGCATCGGCTTGTTGAAGCTAGCTTCCTTTTTTGTTTTTATTAATTTTTAAACAATGAATCAATCTTCGAAATCAACTGTGGTTCATCTTTTAAAGTTACTGTGTTAAACAGGTTTTGAATTTTGCCTGAATATGATATTAACCCTCTAAGACTACTTTCCAAAATAATAGAAAAAAGTTTTCAAATAATTTTTTTTTAAGTGAATGAATGCTTCTAAACTCAAATATGTGCTTAGAAAAATCTGTGGTTCACCTGTAAGATGAAAAGAAAGGTAAGCGGGCGTGAAGGCACGCTTGGGGCCTTGAGCAAAAAAACATTTTCAAGTAACGAAAATTTATTTATTTTTTCTTATAGTATTCTACAAAACAGTCTTTATTCGCTGTGCAGCATAAATGCAGATTGAATTTCGTGCATATGCATTGCGTTTGTGAAGTTTTACAGTGCTTGCAACATCTTTTTCCACAGTTTTGATCCAACCAATGCATTGCAACGTGGGAAATGGTTTAGCTGGTCAAACCTCAAGGCCGATATTGGATGTTTTGATTTTTGACCATGGTTGAGCTCATGCTGAAAAGGACGATAAGAGAGTGGAGACTGCTTTGCCCGTTCTGTCTGCAAGAATGGGGAATTTATTGTTCGTCCTGACTGAGAGGATGGAGACTGGTTTGCCCATCGCGGTGAAGATGCATTGTTGGTATTGATTGGACGATCCAGTAAGTTTTTGTATTTTATATGTAACCAGCCCACAGTAGTCAGTCCCATAGGCCAAAAATCAAAAAATCAATTTTGGAATTTTGTTTTCTAGTTTGACGCATCTGTTTATCAATAGAACAAGGCTTTAAAAGCAATTATTAGTTTTGTCTTGCTCCACATATTCGCGGAGAAATTGGGACGCAAAGTGAGCGCGCAAACCAATCGATCAACTGTAAACGCGCTTGACTTTTGAAATCGTTAAGTTAATGGTTAAAAAATAATCAAAAACAATCGTTTAAATCCGAAAGTGAAGTGAATATTAAAGTTGAAGGTTCGTAGATTGTATTTTTATAATTTTTATTAATTTTGCATGCTACATACATATATGTGACTATAACAGTAATTGTTTATCCACCACAATTTTCAAGTTCTGCAGAACTAAACATCAATACTCTGTAAAGGTAAAAGTTGTGTTGCCAAAATTGGTCAATAATAAAATTTTTTTAAAAATATTAATCAATATTTAAATAGTGTTATTTGTGAAAATCAGCTGCGAATATTTGCGAATCCGTTCACAATCTTTTAAAGAAGACGAATGCCTCGTTCGTGTTTCATCAGTTTTTGATTTTCTAGAGTAACCATTTCTAATTTGTATTAACAAATTTATTTTATATTACTTTACATTTATGTAAATCAATGTTTTTTGTTATCTTTTGTTAATTATTTAACCAAAATTAAGGGCTTAATAAATATTATATATTTTTTGTCTTAACGCTTTATAAGTTCTCTCGCGTCAGCTG